TCCCACCGGTTCTTCTGGACAAAACCTGACCTCATTCAGCTTCAGACCCTGAGTAATTCTCCTTGGAGGAGACTATGGATCACACCTTCGGTAAGACAATAGACCGAAACCTAACTTTGAGACACGGCGATATCTTTTAGAAGAAAAGATGCTACATCCCAAATCACCGAGAGCTCAAACCAAAAATCATGAGCGCCCTACATGATTCGAAGCCCACAAGCCACTTGGGTCAATTCAAAACTGCAGAGCATCTTCGGGCACTGTTCTTTTGCCCAAAGATGGACAATAATATCAGAGAATACATATAGAATTACAATACATGTCAAAGCAATAAAAACTCCAGTCATGAAAAGTACAGGATGCTATCACATTTAGAGGTCCCCAATACTCCTTGCAACTCCATTTCTATGGACTTTTTCGTTAGTTTGCCAGAATCTGAAGCCTATACCCGTATCGCTTTTATTATTGAACGCTTTACAAAAATCACCTACTTCATACCGCTCAAGACCGAGACAACAATCAAGGAACTTTCACATATATTCCTTCAAGAAATATGGCGACTACATGGACTATCCGAAGTAATCATTTCTGATCGGGACTTCAGATTCGAAAGCAAGTTCTGGCATTCATTGATCAAGCTTCTCGGAGTCAACCTTTGTCTGTCTACGGCATATCGTCCTCAAGCTGACAGGTGAACTGAGAGGGTCAATCAAACGCTAGAGCAATATTTCAGAAACTTTTGGTCCTACAAGTAGGACGATTGCGCAGGGTTACTGCCGCTTGCACAGTATGACTACAAAACGGCAACCCAATAGTCCACTAAAGTATATCAGTTCTACGCGAACTATGGGTTCGAGCCTGATTCCGATTGGCATTTGCGCAGAAGGAAGCTGGACAATGCCAATGTTTCCAGCGCCGGACTAAAGTTCAAGTGGAAAGTTCTTTGGAAACTATGAGGACTGATATTTTTAAGGCACAGGCCCGGCAGAAGAAATGGTATGACCAGAAGCATATTAAAAGTCCAGAACCTGAAGATGGGGATAAGGTGATGATGGACCGACGCGATATGATTGCCGATCGACCCTCAAGCAAGCTTGACTACAAGAAACTATGTCTCTTTGAAGTTGATGAAAAACTTGTTGTTGCGTTCTACAGTCTGAAGCTTCCCTCTCAATGGAACATTCATGATGTCTTCCAAATATTTCTGCTGGAGTCCTATCAGGGACTGAGATACCCGCAAAGCACTGAAGTCCCTCCTACTCCAGATGAGGTCGAAGGAGAATACAGTTACACTCTTCAAAAAATAGCTAATAGCCGATGGCAATAGGCTGGGCATTAGAAAATGTTTGTAGAGTATCGCATTGTTTGAGAGGGTTATCGTTCGGAAGACTCCTGGGAACCATACGAAATTCTGCAAGGAAGTGCCGACGAGGACATGAAAGAATTTCATCAAAAATACCCGCAAAAACCTCGGAAAATACGGTGAAACTCTAGGGATCCTCAAAACACGGCGTAAGTAGCTCTGTATCCCAGAAGAAATCCAGGAACAAAAACCAACTCTCCTGTACCAGGTTTTTCATCGGTCTGACAGAGCTCCTACCTTTAGTGGTATAGAGGACAGTGATCTCAATGAGTAAGAAGTCTTACAAGTCAAAAATAGGGGGCTGAGCAAGCCTGGAACAGAATAACAAAGATGGCTGATAGCACAGGGAACCCCGGACGGCAGTTCCATACCTAGTCAGTCGAATCTTTCAGGTTTCATATATCTCTAACCGATGCTCAAAGCCCATGTTTTAGCACGACAGAAATGATTCTGGAGGTGTCCCGGAGCTAATGGAAAATCTAATTCCAAAAACACGTTTTAATCCCCAACACCAAACTCTGGAGTGTGAAAGTGCCGGAATGCTCCTGTTTTGCTCCGGAGCATCTTTGGGGAGTGGGAGTGCGACTCAAGCTACTAAAGCAAAACTTCGGTTTACAAATACTCAAATCGGTTCTAATAAAGTTAGAATAAACAATTATTATCTGGTCGGCTGTTTCCAATAGTTCTTAAGATTCCGACCACAGCTTTCAGCAAATTGCATGATTTGACTCGGACAGAAGTTCATTCAAGGTGTCGTAGTTACTCTCCTCTCCCTTCATAAAAATAGTTGCTGTACCCCCGACTATCAACAGGCAGATTGTCAGTCAGAAGAAGAATTTGAGCAAACGTGCTGTATTCCTATAAGGCACTCGGTGTTGACCCAGGTTGGCCTCTCATCATCAACGGATCTTTAATAGAGATGAGACCCCTTAAAGTTATAATTTCCTAGACTTGGAAACGTTCAAACATACAAACTCCCTTTTCTTCTTTCTCAACGAGTATCATCAAAACTCGCTCTCTTTATTTACACTATTCGAAAGCAAATCACGGTTGTGCCTCCTCATAGCACGTCAGTCACATGTTTTTATCGATGGTCACTGACATGGTCGCATATGCTTCCACCATATTGGGTCTGTCCGTTCGATAGGTCATGACGTCTCTAAAGTTGTCAGACAATCTTTCCGCCAATTCATCAATCTTGACCCCTTTATTGTAATGCAAGTGGGACACATTTCTGATGAACTGCGAGTAGTAGGTGGCAAAGTCTCCTTTGCCTTGCCTCACGGGGACAAGTTGGCGGTGGATGGTACTTTGGGTATTTAGGTCTCTAAATGAGCCTTTTATGTGGGCGACAAAGAAGATGACGGAGGAAAAGAAGTTAGCAGGATTGGCGTTAACAAATTGTATTACCTGATCAAGGGCTCTTCCCTCCAAACAGCTGACCGCATGGATAACCTTTGCTGTCCCATTGCGGAACCGATTATGGTTGACTTCGTGCTTCATTCGGAGTTGGGTAACGAATCCGGAGATTTTGGTCCGGATGCTATCAAACTTTTCGCGGAAAGTTTCAGACCCAAAGGTGGAGACAGTGGTTGGTGCAGTAACAGCGAAAATGGGGATAGGAACATTGGGGGGGAGGCGATGTGGTCAACATTGAGGTCAAGGTTCACCTGTATTACTTGCTCTTCCAGGTAGCCAATGGTTTTGTGGACGGCGGAGAGCAGTGTACGAGCAATATCCCTCTCATGTCGGATGCTTTAAAACATACTTGGGAGGTGAGCAAACAGGGCAGCAGTATTCTATTCGTACTGATGGTTAAACTGCTTGATTTTGTTAAATGAGATCCATGTAGGTCGGTTGGGGGTGGACATGGCGTATGTTGCGGATTACGACGCAACGTAATCCTAGGGTGTTGGGTAGCGAGTATTCCGCAGGGTACGGGAGATGGTCATAGGGGCTGGTAGGTTAATCAGCGAGAGGGGTTAGAGAAACTTACAGATGTTTAGGTCTAGCGGTGGGAAGGTCGGAGAAGTGAGATGGTCTCCTTATAAAGGAAGAGAAAATAGTACTTGAATAGCAATAGCCAGCGTAGATTACCTAAGCCTTTGCGTACCAAAAGAAAAAGAAGAAAAGAGAGGGAAAAAGAATAGAATCGAGGGCAAAGACCCTTAATATACATAAAGAAAGCTTAGCAATCACAAATCCCAAGTAAGTCATACCCTTAAAATCGACGGAATCTTCTAGAAAACCATAGAAGTTTTCTGATCAATTCGACCCTTTGTAACCTACTATATTATTCAATCGATCCATGAAATCGGACAAGGTTTTAGGATCTGAATTGGATTACACTGATTACGCTCAAGCCATTGAGTGTTATACTGACCGCCAGTAAGCTCAAATATGATATTCTCAATCAAAAGCATTCATAATCCTAATTCTAAAGGCTTGGGGGAATTTGGGCGCATACTGTTAATAGGTAGCTGAGGTGGAAGAGATGTTATCTTGCGGACATCGTTAAATTCCTACCCGTTTACAAAAATACAAAATATCAGGATACACGTTATGAAGACTGTTATCAATTAAAACAATGAGTTTTAGAGATAAGTGCTGAATATTATTCACTCTCAAGTTCAGAATATGAGCATAGATTGTATATATTTCCGAATGGATTGGAAAGCCGCAACCTCGTGTTTTGGGAGAAGATATTTTGCAAACCGTAGTGCAGTATTCAATCTATTCAATATTGATCCAGAACATGGTATACCAATCAAGCCATCAAATACATTGAGTATCAATTTCAGTATTTTACTGTGCCAATAAATATTCATAGCTTTCAAACCTTCATGAACGATTGTAACAAATGAGAATTTGAATTTCTGATACACTCGCTGTCCTGCTACATACCCATTAAAGGATTGTAAATAATACAAAAGGTTTTGTTTGTGAATAACTGTTAAATTTGCTGTTTTGATAAGAACTTATCTAATATGGACTGGAATATAATTCTTCTGAGATTGCTGCAATCTGATTGGTTGACAGCAACAGGGGTGTTTTGTAAGCACGACACATCAAATTCTTGTTTTTGGTGCAGTTACCCTACCCGATTTTGTTCTGTTACCCTGCCTATTTTGAGATGGTTACCCTACCCGATTAATACGGTTGCCCTGCCTGCTCTGAGCCGTTACCCTAACTTTTTTGAGCGTTACCCTACCTTTTTTAGGCGTTACCCTGCCTGCTCAGAGCCGTTACCCTGCCTATTTTCCTGCCAAGCCCACACCCTAACCCTGATCTTACCCATGAGACCAGCCCAACCAACGGAACCCTTTATGATTAAATAATAAATATAGCTATTTAGTAGTCAAATATGAGCAGAATAGGCGAGAGAGACGAACAGTAGTTGGCGGGGAGTGCGAAGAGGGAGAGGGAATACCAGTAAGAGGGGGAGAGGAGGTGCCAGTGCGGTGGAGGAACGGTGAAGGGAGCTGGAATATATCAGAGCTGGCACTGGAGCCGGTACTGGAGCTGGTATTAGAGCTGGCACCGGAGCTGGCATATAGTGGAGCGGGCACCGGAAGGGGCATTGGAGCCGGCATTGGAGCTGGCACAGGAGCTGGCATCGAGGCGAACGCCGGAGTAGTCACTCGAGCGGTCACCGGAGCACACACAAGAGCAGGAACACGAGCAGGAACACGAGCAGGAACAGGGGTGGGTACAAGAGCGGGCACAGAAGTGGGCGTTAGAGCTGGCACCGGAGCTGGCACCGGAGCGGGTACTGGAGTGGGTACCGGAGCTGCCACCGGAGCGGGCATCAGAGCTGGTACTAGAGCTGGAAGCGAAGCGGGCACTGGAGCTTGCAGAGAAGCGGGCACTGGAGCTTGCAGAGAAGCGGGCACTGGAGCTGGCATGTATCTGAGCTGTCACTGGAGCCGGCATCTAATGGAGCTGGCACTGGAGTGGGCATTAAAGATAGCATTCGGGCAGCTCCGGCTAGAGCTGGCATATATTTGAGCCGAGACCGAAGCTGACACTGGGCCTGACCTTGATTTTAGCTCGCACCGGAGCGGGCGTTAGAGCTTGCACTGGACCTGGCATTGAAAATCGGAAATAGATCTCCAGGGCAAGATTTAGGCATTTATGTGACATGGCCGGGAAAACAGAACATGAGACGGCAAAGACAAAATCAACTAATTACTGGAGGTGCCTAGATACTACACATAGGTGGGAGAGAAGGGGACCTCGCGGTCGTGAGGTGGCGCACCTCTAGTAAGTATGAACCAATTATTAATGATATTAACCAAGTTCACTGCTAATTACTGATTCGAATATTTTCCTGACAGGTATCGACTCCTATTTAGTATTCAACCATCATACAGAAAGCTTTTCTTATCGGTATACACTTTACTTGCCATTCCGATTTGTATGCATACGTATCAAGCGATTGCCAAAAATCCTCACAAATCGTATTTACTTTTCCTGATTTACATTCTGTCACAACAAGTGTGCATACAAATCGAATCATAGCAAACCATACCAACAAATCTCAATTGCAAACTCTGATGCACTTTCTGTTCCGATTGATATTTATACCTTTCAAGCTATCACAAATAGTAGTAACCAATTTCACCATTAGTGTTTGCTTTACATGCTGTTCTAGTAGACATGCATATCTATCTAGCGATTCAATATTGCTTAGTAGTATCTAGAACAATAATACGATACAGCTCGAAGACTGGTAATTGCAAGCTTCATGGTTACGTATCGGAATTAGAATGTAGGATGGCATACTGAAGTGACACTTTTCTATCTTTTTTTCTTCAGGTCGTTATATTATTCTATTGGTACAAAATTCAATTTTTGGTCAAAATGTAACAGATCAATGTGTATTTGTTGGTGGTTGAAACCTACTTGTCGGTAGTTAGGGTTACAAGGGTTCAAATCTGATTTGGTTACGTGTAAAAAATACAATGTTCGGTAAAAATGAAATACATCAATGTGTATTTGGTGGTGGTTGAAACCTGGTTATTGATAGTTACGGTTACGAGCATTCAGTACGATGCAGTCATCAATCGTTGTAACCGTCCGATCAGTGGCAGTGCCGGGAGTGAACCAAGACAGGCCGTCAAGACTCACAGTGAGTTACCCTATTCGACAGCCCTCAACCACCACCTCCACCACCGCAATCACGACCACGACCCCCTGTACATGCATACCTGATGATGGGAATGTACTCGAGTCGTCGTGTTCAACCCATAGCCATGGAGCCCAGAATTGTGGGGCGACAGTTCTCGGGCAACCTCAAAATCCTGTCCAATATTGCCCTACTAGAACACTAACTAAATATTGCCCTACTAGATGTCTAACTAACAAACCCTAGATTCCGCCAAATACTATGCTAGCTCTATGAGACACTGAAGGGATCTTTCCGAGTAACTAGGGAGTAACCTGAATGATTTCAACTCCTTTCTCAACTTTGGTTCAAAACTCTTTGGCCCGTACATGAGTGACGATGAAGACCCAGCAACAGTCCCACTAGCAACAGTCTCCAACACTTCCTGAGAACACACCAGTAATTCACCGCAACCCATTGTACAGATGACCGTACTTAGGGTTGGTACTACCCCATCAGCACCTTATAGGGCTCCAGGAAAGAACATTGGCCGGGAGATCTAGTCCTAGGTCAAGTTCTCACTCGGTCCAACTCTAGTATAGTCCGCTGAATAGGCCTAGCATCATTAGGCTCAGGAATAGGCACAGTAAGCTCTACTACTCCCAAACCAGCACCTGTCAGTGCTTCACTGAAGGCTCCTGGACCGGAAACCCTTACATTCAAGCCCGATGACCCTCTCAATTCTTTTCTAGTGCAAGCCTGTCTGAACTAATAGACCACTTCTCACCAGTATGACAGAGACAAATTATACGTGAGTTATTGCCGATTGTCCGGGAGACATCCCCGACTGTTCAAGAAATATCCTCGAGCTCGAGGGCATTTAAGATGACTCGAGCAAGCAGAGCGAAAATGACTTTCGGTCTACTCAACCTACCTAAAGTGTACACTACCATCCATAACAGCCTAAAGACAGAAATGTAAAATGTAGGTTGGGTCAATAAAAATACCTCCAGATTGGCTGCGTTTAATGCCCTATGCCTCTACTTAATGAACCTGCCATTCCTCAATAGTTTTCTGCCAGTTTGAACTGAGGGTGACTCCAATGCCAGTAGAGTACTAGCGAGTACTCTGAAGTAGATAATCGTGGATGTTGGTACTAAGAAGAAGTTGTCAAGGGGACAGAAAGACTGTCAGTTCAAAGAGGCTACCAGTGATAGTGATCATAATGATGATGGTGGTGGTCAGATAGTCGGAAGATGCTCTCACAAAGGAAAAGAGCTTGAAGTAGTCTCAGAACTCGTTCGATCTTCCATATTGATTACGCTGGTGGACCCCAATACTCTAGAGGCATTCTTTATTCTCATCCCACCAACTAATTATAACTGGAATTATCCTCCAAACGAACCTTCGTTCATCGGAATTTTGAACAAGATAACTTTCCCCGAGTTATACAACTTGATCCTGAAGCACATTGCACTTGACAGAACAGTTAGGACTATCTGGGGGACAATTGAGAATATCCCTCCAGCAGCTGTTCCTCCCGTTCTGTGGGAGGAGGTACAAATTACTAATTCAGAGGAGCTCGAAGGTTGTTTGAAGAACAGCAATGCCAGGCATCAGAGGATATTAGCGGTCCTCTACAGAGCAGGTGTAGATGCTAACCGGGGTGGTTCAGAACCCCCTCCTGTTGAACCCAGCTTTCTCTCACATTGAGGAAGATGATTGTAACATGATCGATATTCCTGCAGAGGATTCAAATTACGAGGAGTGAAAGCTCTGGATAAATCCAAAATGACTGAGGGTAAATATGCCTAGAATTGATGCCAGTACTTAAAGGCTACTCCAGACTCTTGTTAGGTATCGCGATAGACAGCAGGATGCTATCGACAATTAAAACCATAATACATGGGGAAGTATCCTTTCGGTGTCGGAGTTGCTGACCCAAACCTCTTACAGGGGATAATCTGGACACTTGCAGGATAGCAGCTATGAGAGCTGCTGATACACTTATGGCTGCTGATGCTGCAGGTGCTGGAGGTGGTGGTAGTAGTGGTGGTAGAGGTGGTGGTGGTGGTAGAAGTGATGGGCCAGCTGGAGGTGGTGGCAATAGTGTTGAGGTTGATAATGGCGGGCATCATTAGTTCCTTTTGGTATAATCTCTAACTTCCCTTCCTGCAGAATTGTCACTAACCTTTTAATAGTTATTAGGATTACTCTCTGCTCACTCGCGATAGCTGCTGAGGTGCGGTACGATTTCGTATTTTGGATTTCCCTTTGTATATCAATGGATGGGTTATATCGGATAAGTTTAGATTAAATTAGATTAGATTAGATTAGTCCAGGTAGTAATTGCATTGCTTTTGTTTCAAACTCGAATCAAACTCCTAGATTGATTTCAGAGCACTCGGTAACATTTCAGAAAGTGCAGTAAAAGGAGTGATGATAAATGATCCAGTTGAGTACGGAGATAACGGTAACAGCGGATGATCCCTACTGTATGAAGATCAGTGGTGCAAATTTTCTCGGCAAGAATTGATTTCTAATTGAAGATATCGCAAGTGCTCCTACAGCACTGCGGATATTCCTACCAGTCATCGGAATGGCTCTCAATAATCATTCCACCAGTACAGTACCTCCTGCACTAAAGTACCCATGACTCTCAGCATGATCTGAGGAAGAGAGAGAGACTGATGAGTTTGAGATGTTTTACCGAACATTGACTCTACCGCTAGCCCATACTCGGAGTAGTCAATCGGTCACCGCCATTCACATAACTTGGAAAGGTCTTCTCCATTCTTCCGAAGCCTCTAATGAGAGGGGCAGTCCTCAGAGGGTAGAATTTCATCTCTCCGAGGATCATGCTGACAATTTTGAAGCACAGGAGCAGTCCGAGACAATTGAGGTGCCTGAGGTGGAAGAAATAGTTGATACCCGTTACTCAAACTATGATGATGCTCCAGAGAAAGTCCAAGAGAACTCTAAGGGGTATGAGGATGAATCGAAGGATGAACCTCAAGCCCTCCCTACCTCCCATCTTCCACTCGGAGGTCCCAAACTGTCGGAAAGAGACCTTACACAGTTCAACTAACTACTGCCAGAGCATTGGGCAATGCACAGAGGAAACCAACTGATGCGGTAGTGGAGTTCATTGCTTCTTCCGATGTATCAGTGGACGTGGTATAGGTTTGACTCTATCTCGCTCATTGATGCTTTTGAACAGGTGAGTATTACTGGCTAACGATTCAGAGGGAAACTCGAGGGGGCGCGAAAGTAATACGTAAACAAAGGAGAGTAGCACCCACTCCAGCACCGAGCCAAAATGTATCCTAGGGAGTAATTCCTGTATCCCAGACAGTACCTCCAACACCCTCTTAGTCTAGGCCCTCTGCACCTGTTCATTCTCATGAGTATACATCCTCTACCCCCCATATAGAGTTTTCCTCGATGCGCTCTCGATACGGAGAGTCGTTCCCCGCTTACTGGACATATCATTCTTTACTGCCTAGCTAGGTAATTGGCGAACATTCTGTGAGAAGTCGTCAGATTCCTTCAAGCCGACTTCACGGTCAAGGTGAATCGCAAAGAGTGTACGAGATCGAGTACCTTCCCTCACATAGGGAGAAGGACGGGAGTACTCCAATGCTGTAAAGCAACCGTATTTTGATTCCGGGAAATGAGGTTAGTTGTTACAGGAAAACACGAACACTGCTCCCAAGTTAAGGAACAAGGATAATACGAGTGATGGGTTGTGATGCGAGTACGGTCGGGTAACGAGGGAATAAGCATAGAAAGGTACCGAGGGGTTGTGGGGGCACCGGGTGCAACCACACTAGTATTAGGCTGTTGTGAGGGCACGCTTACTATTGGGTGTCTCACCCGGAACGGAATAGAAGCGGGGCTTATGGCTGCAGGCCATTCTACTTAGGGAAGTAGCTCTAGGACAATAGCATGATACAGCTCGGTTACCGGCAATTGCGGGGTTTATGGTTACGTGTCAGAATTGGAATGGAGGAACGGAACTATGCGGGGGCGCTTTTCTACTGGGGTTATCTTCGGGTTGATTATCTTATTCTATTATCGTTATCTCTTTAGTATTAGAAAGCGGGCCTTGGCATAGGTTCCAATATGTATAAATAGGGAGGATTCTGCCTCGTCTTAGTGGCATCATCAGTCACTCAGCGAGCGGAATCCGGTTTACAATATTACAAGTTTAAAAGCTACAGAATTACCGCTTAGCATTGGCATTTCCCCAAACACTATATTGTACCTTATCCACTACGCTATTATTTTATCGATCGCATATTATCAACATCCCGATAAGACAACTACTCGCTTAGACCAATACTTGAGAGTATTTTGTTTGTGGCGGATAGTCACCGTGCGCTCAAGTAAAAGAATAAGAAAGTAGCCTATTAGAAGGACTCTTTGATACCGTATGCATCCCCGAGTAGCAACAGCAGCTATCAACAACTTTACTTGCACCACCTCTTTTGTCGTTCGCAGAGGCAGTGCCGAACACCTCTATTGCGGATACCTTGAGTACGCCGGGTTTTTTGCCGAAGCAGGTACTACTTGCACGTTCGAAGAACACGACCCGGAGATCCTCAACTATCCCGAACTGTTCCCCATTAAAGTCACCCTCAGTCAGCAATCCCACGGATTAGCTCACTCCGTCCCTTGGTTCGTCGTTCAACCCTGGTGCAGAAGACAGCCACAACTCAGAATCGAGCAACTTAGCGATGTCAAGGGGTCATCAGCAACAAATGGAGGAAGACTACAACATGGAGAGCTCGATCACCGTGAGAGATCGAGGTATAGTCGAGACCCAGGCGAGACAGCGCCACAGGAGGGATCTGGACATGCCGATCAGCGACCTCTTCAGATCGACTCAGCCGGCCGCATCCTATGGCCAACCCCGCTCCCGCAGGAAAGGGGACTATCGAGACTATTCCCCGTACAAAACGCCAATCAGAGAGAGGTCTTCTATTCCGAGGCCCTCGGTCCCCAGGGTAACGGACGAGGACGAGGATACGGATATGGACGTAGAGGAACGCCGTATCGAGCACCCCTTTGGAGAAATCATCGGGCAGGAAATCGAACGGAGAGGAGCCCCAGTGGTTCAGCAGCTCAGCCGCGGACTTGGAGACCTCACTGTGAGCGTCCAAGACCTCCCCGCAATCAGGGAAATTACTCGGCAGCACGCTGCGCAGCTTACCCAGCAGCACGAAGAGCAGACCAGCCTCATCCGTGAGTTGCAGATGAAGTTCAACCAGGACCAAGAAGAACGGAAGCGCCGCGACGGGTATATCCTCGCGCAAGTGCGGGCAGAGACAGCCGCAACCACTACGAACCTCGGTCAAGTCTTGGAACAGATCGTCACCACTACTAGGGCCCACCAACAGCGGCAGGAAGAGCAGGCCCAGCACATAACCATGCTGGCCGACTGGATTCAAAGACTGCCGAAAGATGGCCCAGCCCAAGTCCCAGAAGGCGTAGCAGCCACACTAGCACAATTGGAAAGGACCATGCAGCAGCAGGTCTCCTTGGTAGATGGGTTCTCTGGAACAAAGACGGCCTTAGAAGAAATAATGGAGCAGATGAAGGAAACAGCCCGTAAAGTGGCTGCGGAAAAACCACTGGCCCCAGAGACAGGTGGCGGCGGATCAGGCCCACCTCCCAAACCACCTCCCCAACAACCAGTCGCCCCTCCAGCCGGCTCCGAATCCAGTGAAGACCTCGAAGACCAAGGCCAACAAGGGAAGCAAGGAGGTCAAGGAGCACAAGGTGGAGGTAACGGGGATGGCAATAAGGGAGGAGGTCAAGGAGCACAAGGTGGAGGTAACGGGAATGGCAATAAGGGAGGTAACGCCCCGGAAGCACCCGGATCATCCCCATCGGATTCCTCAGATTCGGAAGGCGAACGCCGCAAGCGGCTGGAACGTAAGAAACGAAGACACGAAAGGAGGCGCCAACGAGAGCAAGAACTCTCGCACCCCCCTCGCGCCACCATAGGTGATGCGCCCAAAAAGGCCAACATCCCCTTCTCCGGAAGAGCCGATCAAGACGTGAGACTCTGCATCGACTAGATGGAGATTCTAATCAGTCTCCAGAAGAAGGTCTAATGGGATAACGGCACCAAGATTATGTGGGCATCCCTCGAGTTTACCGGTAGTGCGGCAAACTTTTGGCGGAATTTTACGGAGAGGTTAGCTGTGGATAGCAGTATCGGAACCTGGGAACGGTTCAAGCAAGAACTCCGTACTCAATATGGCAACCGCACGAGTCAGGAACAGGCCAAGCAGAAGATGGACAGACTCCGGCAAACTGGTCCAATCGATGACTACATCAACGAGATGCAGAACCTAGAATGGGACGCACGAGTTGGACCAGTTGTCATGAGATCCATGATCCTAACAGGAATAAACTCCTCGCTGGAACAACGGCTCTCTAATGCGATTGAGGAGCCTAATGATTTCGTGGACTGGTTAGCCTGGGTACGAAAAGTCGGACGCAAGGACCACGAGGTGAAGGCTCGGAAAGAAATCCTGCGAGGTAAAGACCCTGTGAAACCTCGCGAGGAAAAAACGGAACGGCGGAAATCGCGCAATAATGCAAATCCTCGGAAGACTTTCCCCGCATCAGCCAACAACTCCAAGACCTCGGATGACTTAGGTGTTACCAAGGAAGAGAAGGAGAAATGGCAGAAGGAAGGAAAGTGTTTCCGTTGTGGTAGAGATAACCACTTCGTGAAGGATTGCGTGGCGACAAGTAAGGTCAGGTTAACGAACCTGAAGAGAAAAGAGTATCCTTCCGGAAGAAAGGACCACGGAAGGGAGGGTGATAAGAAACGGAAATTGGGGCCACAAAATGAGGCATTTAGGGCAAGGATTACGAATTTGTAGGACTAAATTGATTGGGTATTTCTAGTTATGCGGTGTTTCATTCTATGTTTTGTTACGGTTTTTATTTTTTTGGGAAAAAGACTTTTCTAAGGGATCGGGTTATGTTATGCTCTATCGGTTTTGTTATTTCGCGCGAATTCAATTCTAGTACACACACTCTGAGGATGGGGTTACACCCCAAAATGTCTGGGGCGTAAGCGTGGTACCATGATCTTCATCAACGCTCGAATCTTCTATATAAACTCCCTCGCCCCGCGCTCAGAACAAGAACTATCAACATCGACCCACTCATACCCAAGAACAATCTACCTTACCTTACACTTTTTAAACATATGAACATGTCTTCACATCACCAAGAAACCCGCCTTGAGATTGAGATCTCTTGGAACCACCCCGCAACTAGTACCCAACATGCAGGAATAGTCAACGCACTCCTAGACAGTGGAACGGAGGACTGGGTTATGTCCTGGAACTGTGTCCACCGTCTCAAGATCCCAACTCAACCTCGACCCAAGCCCCTCATCATCAGACAGGCTGACGGTACCCCTATGCCTAACTCCGGTACTCACATCACCCAACCCCTTACCCTCCGCGTCGGCATCCATCTAGACAGAGACATCGTCTGTGAGGTTGGCTCATTCGCAGGAGAAGACCTCGTCATACCACATCGATGGCTCAAGGAGCATCAACCTACTATACATTGGGGACAGAACAAGGTCACCTTCGACAACATCAATTGTCAAGTGAAGGGATGCTTCAGGACCATGTATGATATATACGAAGAAGACCCAGAAGAGCTGGTCATCAGGCTGTTGAGGTCGTCACCCGAGACACAGATGATGATCGAGCAACACCCCTTCTGGGCAAGGGCATTGGTAGGCGAGACTCTCGCTAGTGCTATACCGATGGAGTACCAGGACTTCGTCGACGTCTTCTCTAAGGAGGGAGCCGATCGACTACCTGATCACTCTGAATGGGACCATACCATTCCCCTTATGGAAGGAAAGCAGCCTCCATGGGGACCGATTTATGCGCTCTCCCCAGTGGAACAAAAGGCACTCCGGGAGTCCTTAGACGAAATGCTAGCCTCTGGCAAAATAGCCCCCTCCACCAGTCCGGCAGCAGCACCGATCCTGTTCGTGAAG